AATTTTCATATTTTTAGTAGAGACGGGGTTTCACCATGTTAGCCAGGATAGTGTCGTTCTGACCTCATGATCCGCCCCCCTCGGCCTCCCAAAGTGCCTGGCCGGAATGTGACTAGACTTCACTTTTGAAGTATTTAACCTTCTGATTTACAAATAATGGAAGCTGGAATATTTGAACTGTATGTTTGTTTGTTTTTGAGACAGAGTCTCCCTCTGTTGCCTAGGCTGGAGTGCACTAGCACGATCTCGGCTCACTGCAACCTCTGCCTCCCGTGTTCAAGCAGTTCTCCTGTCTCAGCCTCCCAAGTAGCTGGGACTACAGGTATAGGCCACGACGTATAGCTGAATTTTGTATTTTTAGTTTCACCATGTTGGCCAGAGTGACCTTGAACTCCTGACCTCACATGAACTGCCTGTATCCCAAAGTGCTGGGATTACTGGTGTGAGCCACCTCACCCGGCTTGGAATATGTGAACTGTAAATTCATGAATCGGACATGCTAGTCTCCATCAAGATTTCAGGTTTTTTGAGACGAAGTTTCCCTCTGTCGCCCAGGCTGGAATACAGTGGTGCAATCTTGACTCAATGGTACCTCCACCCTCCGGGTTCAAGTGGTTTTCCTGCTTCAGCCTCCCGAGTAGCTTGGACTACAGGCATGTGCCACCACGCCTGGCTAATTTTTGTATTTTTAGTAGAGTCAGGGTTTCACCATGTTGGCCAGGATAGTCTTGATCTCTTGACCTCATGAGCCGCACGCCTTGCCCTCCCGAAGTGCTGGGATTACAGGCCTGAACCACTGAACCCAGGCCCAGATTTCTTTTTTTCTTTTTTTCTTTCTTTTTCGAGACGGAGTCTTGCTCTGTCACCCAGGCTGGAGTGCAGTGGCGCAATCCCAGCTCACTGCAAGCTCCGCCTCCCGGGTTCAGGCCATTCTCCTGCCTCAGCCTCCTGAGTAGCTGGGACTACAGGTGCCCGCCACCACGCCCGGCTAATTTTTTTGTATTTTTAGTAGAGACGGGGTTTCATGGTGTTAGCCAGGATGGTCTCGATCTCCTGACCTCGTGATCCGCCCGCCTCGGCCTCCCAAAGTGCTGGGATTACAGGCGTGAGCCACCGCGCCCAGCCCCAGATTTCTTAATGTTAAATCTAGTTTATGTAAATTAATGTCACTTTATTATTTAACAGCATTATTCGACTGTTACACACGAGTAGATGGTGATAGAGAAGGATCCCTGGGTTAGCTTGCATTATAAAAAAAAAATTTTAGACCCCTTCAACTAGAAGAAGGGGGGAATAAGATAATAACGGGCATTGACCTCAAAATATTTCAGTATATACAGGTACATTCTACTATATTGTACTACTATAAAAGGATGCTGGCAACCTGTTACATGAAAGAACTGAGGGACTGTTCTTAGGATTTCTAACAGCAGTCTGCATAACATGTGGTGCTCGAGAAACCACACCATACCACCTAGAGAGAAATGGTATTGTTTAAGCATCAATGACAACACAAAAAGGTATTGCCACTTATAGGACAATGTAGTCTTGCCAAAATATTGCAGATGAGGCTGAATAAGCCTTCGGTCCCAGCTGCCACTTTCAGGAATTAAGAATATGTGGAATTGTACCAAGAGTATCAATTCTGGAAAATACAGACTGGGAAACAACAGGTCAATACCCTGGATTCTTAAACAGATAAATTTTAACCTAATGCAATTGAAATGGGACTTATCTACAAAAATGCCTTAAATGCATCACATTTATTTTTTTGGGAAGACAAGAATGTCTACAGTTACACATCTAGGCATTAGAATTATTTTACAAGTAAGAAAGTACTAGTAAAGTCAGAATGATTGTTACCTTTTGGTGAAAGGAAGAGGGATTGGCAGTGGAATTGGCCACGCAGGGTTTGTTTAGTTATGAGGCTTTACAGGGACGCAACTGCTCTTGCACCTTCACACATTTTTATTGAAGTTCCTTGTGCTCACCCACTATTGGAGCAGGTAAAACTTACAAGTTTTAACTGCTTTTCTAAAATTTCTTGCTTTTCAGGAAATACCTGCTGGTTATTTTGGTATTGTATTTCTAAGTATTTTATTCTCCAAGTTGCTTATTTTTTATTTCTCCCAGTCAGTGAAACCATATATGCTGGCTGTAGGATTATTTTTTATTTCTCCCAGTCAGTGAAACCATAAATGCTGTCTGTAGGGTAGTGATTTTGCCATCTTGAGTCTTCTGTTGGGAGTCAGATTCAAAAACTGTTCTGCTCTTGCTGTCCCTTTCCAAGAATCCCAGTTCTTTTCCAGTACTCCTACAGTCAGTGAAACCATATAAGCTGGCTTGCCTTTACTGCCTTGAATTTTGGAATTTTGTTGTAAATACTGTCTTTAGGATAGTGATTTTGCCATCTTGAGTCTTCTGTTGGGAGTCAGATTCAAAAACAGCTCTGCTCTTGCTGCCCCTTTCCAAGAATCCCAGTTCTTTTCCAGTAGTTTCTTTGTGTTTCAGTATTGGCTATCCTCCTCCCTTTATGGAAATTTCACCTGTATGGTACCTTAAAATTTTGAGGTGGGATGAAGCGTGACTGGACATCATTTGGTTATTTCTAAAACTTCGGGAAATCTACCTCTTCCATAAAATTGGACATAGCGCTACCACTAAAATTTAAGGAAGCTCTCAGGACAGTCTTTGTTGTTATTTGTCGCCTGGATTTTCCCGGAATGTGGTACTCAGCATGTGGTTAGTAAATATTTGACCCCCAAAACAAATGAGCTTGTAGTGACTGTTCATTCCTTAGGAGGATATGTTACTAAGAGTGGAATTAATCGGTATTTGTGAGTACATCTGTCTTTACTGTTGCCTCCATCTTGAACTTAAATCCTCATAGTAAGTATGGGTATTAATTTTAGGCAACCTTTGGAAGTTGGGATTATTATATTTTTAAAAATAAGTAGTTCATCATTTTTGTAGCAGATTTAATAACCAGACCATAAACAAAATGAGAAATCATATCCTTAAACTCAGAGATAACAACCATTGCTAGAATCCTTTTTTTGTATGCCTGGATGCTTTTCTACCGAGCTTTTCCTGTGTGGATCTTTGAGAGAATTAAGCCCTGATACACGTGAAAAATGCCGTGGGGTATGAATTCCATACATCTTGATTAGTTCTAGGTATGTACTCAGATTTGTGAAAATTGAGAAAATGGTCATTTAGATCCATTTTTGTCTGTGGTGCCAGAGGGTTCCCCTTTCAGTCACATCGATTTTTTTTTGCAAATGTCCATTTGGAACATTGGACTGTGGTGTGATGGGTTTTTTCCCTTAGGTTCAGTATTCTGTGGTGGCTTATGGAGCCCCTCACCCCTGGTAATTTCTTCTCATTAAAACTATGGAGATTATATTTCCTGTTGGTATACCTATTGTTTGTGAAAAATAGTTGCTTAAAACCAGATTGTTTCTCCACTTGTAGTAATAGCAAATATTGTAAACCAGCAGTAGTATCTGAAACCAGTTAGGCCTTAATGCAGATTTTTGTTTTAATTCCTCTTTTTAGTGTCCTCAGACTTTCTGGCATACTTAAGAGCTGAAAGATTGTTGATGAATTTCAGTGGCTACTGTTTGTTAATTTTTATTGCTTAGTCTTAAAATCTTAAAATATTAAGAACTTTTTGTAAAGATATACTTTAGAAAGTAACATAAAGACAGACGAATTTCAGAAAGATTTGGAAGGAAGTGAAATTTTGTTGGAGCTTTTAAATCAGTACTGCCTGTTAAATGACTGTATTAAGCGTCAGAATGGTAGGAGTCATGTATAAATGAAATGGTGTTATACTACCTGTTTTTATGTACATGTATGTATACATTAGACATTTTTACATCATCCATAAGAACTAGTTTGTCTGATTCACTTGAGGATTGGAAGGATAACAAATACTGGAATATTTTGAGATTCATCGGAACCTTTCAAAGGGATGAAGGGGAAATCTTAAGAATGTTTTTAAGTCTTGTTCAAGATAGGGGGTTGGAGTGGGAAGAGGCAGGAAACAATGCTGAACGAATGAAATAAAACATTTTCACTTATACAGGACCTGAGATGGTATTGTGAATCTTCATATTGTTATGATAGTATTGAGCCTCCATCACATATGTAAAGACAGATAATTTTTGGTTTTAAATAATTTGTGGAAAGTTGTGTATTTTTCTTTAGTTCCCCGATCCTTAATTTGATTCATGCCGTGTTCCACTGGCTAGTTTTATCATCATCACCATCCGATATTATTAAATGTCCTATATTTTAGGTTATATAAAAAGTAGCCTTGGAGTCATTGCAGTCTGTAAAAAAATGGTATTGATACTTACGTATCTAAAGCATCCTGCAATTAATTGAAGTATCTGGAAATAGGCATTTCCAGTATAAATGAATTGATTCTGTTTATTGCCTTTTGAAGAAAATTATACTTAATGGGTAAGTGTAAGCTATCCATATTAATCTAGCTAATGAATGGCTTGGGACAGAAGTTGACATTTGCTATGCTGTGTGTATATATACAGAACCGGTAAAAATAAAAGCAGCGTGAATCAAGATTATTGATGGCAGGGAATAGTTAGCATGACCTGTAATGTGAAAAACAGCAGAAACTGGTGTCAGAGAATTTAGGCAGTTCTAATTTGCTTCAGTTATTAGAGGAGGGCCATTTGGAATTATGTCCAAGGAAATTATATTGCCAATGACCTGCCAGGGAAAATTTTTTTTTCCTGGTAATTGAGAGTTTAGTGCCGCTGAAATAGAATGAAGAGGAAGAAGTTGAATTTCTAGAACATATTCAGAGGCTGGAGTCTCTGAATTTATTAGTAAATACATAATGCTGTGAGTCCCTTTAAGTTGCCTGATACTCTGGGCAGTTAACAGTGTTTCAGAGTGAGAGTGGAGAATGTTTTATCAAGGCATATTGTTTTTAGCATCTGTTCACCTGAATACTTTTTTTTGCTTTACAGTTTTCAGCTTTGTGAGAAACCTTATCATCAAACACAATGGCCAGCAACGTTACCAACAAGACAGATCCTCGCTCCATGAACTCCCGTGTGTTCATTGGGAATCTCAACACTCTTGTGGTCAAGAAATCTGATGTGGAGGCAATCTTTTCGAAGTATGGCAAAATTGTGGGCTGCTCTGTTCATAAGGGCTTTGCCTTCGTTCAATATGTTAATGAGAGAAATGCCCGGGCTGCTGTAGCAGGAGAGGATGGCAGAATGATTGCTGGCCAGGTTTTAGGTAAGGTCTCCATTAAGTTAATTTTTTCATTGATGATCAGGCCTGAGTTTTTCGATTCATATTTTTTTGTTTTTGTTTTTGTTGTTTTTTATGTCTGTAAAACTGACAGCCTGAGATATTCTGGATATTGTGCCTATTCAGTCTAATAAAAATACATTAGGCTTATACTTACAATTGGCTAAGTAAAGGATATTCTTCATTGTACCATTTTGTGTAGTAGAGACAGGACAACTCTCATTTGGCAGTTGTGAGTAGGGCGACCTGGGAATGACACTTCACAGTGTTAAAATGTTGCCTAAATGGTTATATCCTCCCCACAGCAGACTGGTGGACCCCTCTAGTGTTGTTGACTGCTTGTCTCCTCATTGGGGTTTCGCTCCATTGTTGGGCCAGTTGCAGTTTGGCTCAGTCTTAGATTTTCTTGTCTTTTCAAATGTAATGACACCTCAGAGTACTACTTATGATTTGGTTTATTCAAGCCAGAATGCAGCGTCCACATGTTTATTTGATTAGTTGTACTAGATGTCTGTTTTAACTTCCCATTTTATGTGTACTTTGTGCCTCAGTTTCAAAATAATCATACCTGTGTTTTTACAAAATTAAGATGATTATTTTCAATTTTATATTTGTGGTTTTATTCTTTGTATACATTCTACTATGTCTGTTGACTCATAGCACGATAGGTTAGAGTTACATGAAACAATTCTCTGATAATGTTATGTAACCAACCAGATACACAATTTGGGTCTATTTCATTGTTTTTACATCTTACTGGATTGCATTTTCAGAAATTCTATCTTTAGTTTTAAAACACTATATGGTTTCAAAGTCAGAATTGTAAATGAGGTTAACATACCAAAACCTGAAGGTTATTCATGTAATGGTGTTCAGCAAATAGACAGTATATTCAATTTTTTTTGTTTGTTTTTTTTTTTTTTTTTGAGACAGTCTAGTTCTGTCGCCTAGGCTTGAGTGCAGTGGTGCAGTCTTGACTCATTGCAACCTCAGCCTCCCAGGTTGAAGCGATTGTCCTGTTTCAGCCTCCCGAGTAGCTGGTACTACAGGAGTGCACCACCACACCTGGCTAATTTTTGTATTTTTTGGTAGATACGAGGTTTAACCATGTTGGCCGGGCTGGTCTTCACCTCTTGACCTCAGGTGATTCTCCCGCCTCTGCCTCCCAAAGTGCTGGGATTACAGGCGTGAGCCCCTGTACCTGGCCTCAGGCGGTTTTCAGTTGTTCATTTGATGAGGTCCTTTTGTATAAAAAGGTAAGATATAAAGGATTAAGTTTAAGATATGCACGTTTGGCGAGGTGCAGTGGCTGATGCCTGTAATCCCAGCATCTTGGGAGGCGTAGTTGCGCTGGTCATGAGGTCAGGAGATGGAGACCATCCTGGCTAACACCGGGAAAAGCCGTCTCTACTAAGAATACAAAAAATTAGCAGGCCGTGGTGGCGGGCGCCGGTAATCCAAGCCGTTGAGGCAGGAGAATTGTTTGAACCCGGGAGGCGTAGGTTACAGTGAGCCGTGATTGCACTCCAGCATGGGCAACAGGGCAAGACTCCGTCTAAAAATATATATATATATGGAATTTGTATATTTTGGGGCATGTGTGTATTAAAATGAGACTAATTTTAAAGCAGTATATATGAAAATGGAGGTATTGTTGACTGAGTGCTTTAGCACGACTGGGAAGTTAAAAAACTGAATTGGCTTTCTGACATGGGGTTTTTAGAACAAGGAGAAGATGAATTCTTGTTTGGAAGGTCATGGGTGGCAGGGTAGGTAGCTGGGCTTACGTGTTACAAATTGTATTTGAAAACTAGGGTTGTTTCCCTTTGCTCTTTTATTTTTTTGATATATGTAAAGGTTATTTAAGCAACTTATGAATTATTCAGAAAGCAGTTGTTAACCCCGGATGTTTTACATGCAGTACAGCTAATCCTTACTTATAAGGGAAATCTGAAGTTGCCTTTGAGGATGATTTGAGGGTGTCACACTGCACTATATTGTTTTGTGGATTGGCGTATATTTTAATATATTTGTAATAATTCGGAATGAACTGAACCATTCTTGGAAAGGTAACCATTGATAGTTTTCTCTTGTAATAGTAACTGAGTGAACAGTCAGTGCCTTGAATGGGGAGAGTTGAGTTAAAGTGGGATCTGAGGGTGGAGAGTACCAAAGACAGACTTAATGTTATGTCTCAGGAACACTTTAGTGGTACAGAACAGAGTGCAAATACATAGAAGATGAAGTCTTAGCCTTGTAAAAATTTATGAGCCTTTTTAATATTAAAAGGAGAGATGAAGCTCAGCATGGTAGCTCACACCTGTAATTCCAGCACTTTGGGAGGTCAAGGCAGATCACTTGACCCCAAGAGTTCGTCCCTATGAAAAACAGAAAAATTGGCCGGGCGCGGTGGCTCAAGCCTGTAATCCCAGCACTTTGGGAGGCTGAGATGGGCGGATCACAAGGTCAGGAGATGGAGACCATCCTGGCTAACCCGTTGAAACCCCGTCTCTACTAAAAAATACAAAAAACTAGCCGGGCGAGGTGGCGGGCGCCTGTAGTCCCAGCTACTCGGGAGGCTGAGGCAGGAGAATGGCGTGAACCTGAAAGGCGGAGCTTGCAGTGAGCTGAGATCCGGCTACTGCACTCCAGTTTGGGCGACAGAGCGAGACTCCATCTCAAAAAAAAAAAAAAAAAAAAAAAAAACAGAAAAATTAGCCAGCGTTGGTGGTGCCTGCTACTTGGATGGGAGGATCACCCAAGCTTTGGAGGTCTAGGCTGTATTGAGCCATTATTGCATCACTGCACTCCAGCTTGTATGACAGTGAGACCCTCTCTTAAATAAAATAAAAAAAAATAGGAAAGATGAGTTGTTTTGTTTCATATTTTCTAATTTTTATGTCTGTGATTTTCTAAACTTTGTATTAGCTGGGCATGGTGGTGCCCGCTTGTAGTCATAGTTACTCTTGAGGCTGAGGCAGGAGAATCCCTTGAACCGGGCAGTGGAGGTTTCCGTGAGCCTAGATGGCACCATTGCATTCCAGCCTGGGCGACAAAGCGAAACTATGTCTCAAAAATAAAAAAATTAACTTTGTAGTTTGTTTTACCTGGATACAAAGTTGTCACTAAAATTTTTGCTTTTGTTTTTCAGATATTAACCTGGCTGCAGAGCCAAAAGTGAACCGAGGAAAAGCAGGTGTGAAACGATCTGCAGCGGAGATGTACGGGTCAGTAACAGAACACCCTTCTCCGTCCCCTCTACTCAGGTCCGGAAACTTTATTATTTATAACTGCATTGTGTCCATCAGTGGGCATCTTCTCTATCTGTTTTCTGGATGTGGGGAGGGTTAAGTGTACTGTGTTTTATCTGTGTATAAATAAGGTTTCATTATTTTTGTGTTAATATGTCTCTCTTTTGCCCTAGCGAAAATTACTAGAGAATTAAAAATCCCTGAGGTTTTTGCTATTGATGTTTAGGAGTAGTTTGATATTTATAGCATAGCCTGAAATACTTCTACAGGATCGTTGAGCTTCTAAGACACCAGAGAGTAAGAGAGGGAAGAAGTGTGGTATAAGAATGTTTAGTTTACCATTCTGTTTTTCAGTGTTCAGTTTAACTATGTCGTATGTGGAAATCTTAGTGAATTTTAACCTGAATTACCAATTTGACCACTACATTTCCAGTGGTCTAAGGTGATTGGAATTGAGTGATTTATTGTATGAATGATTGGGGATCATTCAGTGCTAATCTTGTTGATCTATCTGTTGTGGTTTATTTGGCATGGTTCTCCCCTCACCTGATGTTATGAATTAGTAGCAACGTTTCCAAATTAACCCTTTTCGGTATTTATTTTTCAGCTCCTCTTTTGACTTGGACTATGACTTTCAACGGGACTATTATGATAGGTATGTTAAAAGTGTTTTGCCTTTCTGCTAAACAGCTATTAATGAGAACCATTTTGTTTTTCTAGTTTGTGGTGATGAACATCAAAGATGTTTCCAAACATACTCCCTTTCCTCCAAAAGAAAAAAATAACCTTAAGTAGATTATTAGGTAGGGTGATAATGATTTTAATGCATTATTTCATAATGCCTGTTTCTACTAAAAATACAAAAGAATTCGCTGAGTGTGGTGACTAGGGACTGGGTTATGGGTGGCTTTGGGTAATAGATTTAGAACTGATGATAGCAAATACTAAACAAGAAATAGAATGATGTGCTTAAGAGTGTTACCACATTGACAATCTGATATCAGTCTCAGTTAACATGAAGTAAATGTTAGACTTATTTGGCTTGTCGTGTTTAAACTCATGCAGTATATGTAAGTATATGGAGCAAACTATTATATGCAATACACTTTAAAAATGCAATATATAAAGCGCATTACTTTATATGAAGCATAGTACTACTATTTGTCTTAGAATACCAGTATTCTAATCATTAGTATTTTAATGTTATTGCTGTATATAACAATTCTGTCTCTGATTTTGGAGTAAAAATTACTGATTGACAAATGCTTAATGTTTGAACTGAGTTAATCAGTCATGCATGGGAGTTGTGTAGAGGAATCAAGTCAGCTGTTAAATACCATAGAGTATACACTGAAAATGTCAGACATGAAAGTATACACTTTCTGTTTGAGAAATAACGTCATAGAATATGGCAGGTAGTCATTAAAAGGCCAGAAGAGTAAGGCCTGAAAAAGAATTTAAATCCAGATTGTAAAGGGCCTTGAATGCCCTATTAAGATGGTGCGGTTGAGCATACTTAATGCATCATCAAAATGTTTTTTTTTTTTTATTTGACTTTAGCGGTTTCCTCAGATTGTTGTTGTTGTTTTTTTTTTTAAGATGGACTCTTGCTCTTGTCACCCAGGCTGGAGTGAAGTGGCGTGATTTTGGCTTACTGCAACGTCCGCCTCCTCGGTTCAAGCTATTCTCCTGCCTCAGCCTCCCAAGTAGCTGGGATTACAGGCATGCACCACCACTCCCAGCTAATTTTTGTATTTTTAGTAGAGACTGGGTTTTACCATGTTGACCAGGCTGTCTCGATCTACTGAACTCAGGTGATTAACTCACCTTGGCCTCCCAAAGTGATGGGATTACAAGTGTGAGCCACTGTGCCCGGCCATTTCCTCAGATTTTTACAGTTATGTGTGAACATTTTGAAAACTAACGAGTTTTATAATTCTTCATTTTTAGTTTTGTTGAAATTTTTGAAATTCTTAAAAATTGGCCGGGCATGGTGGCTCACACCTGTAATCCCAGCACTTTGTGAGGCCAAGGCGGGTGGATCACGGCGTCAGGAGTTCAAGACATGCCTGGCCAATATGGTGGAACCCTGTCTCTACTAAAAAATAAAAAATTAGCTGGGCGTGGTAGCGTGCACCTATAGTCCCAGCTACTCAGGAGGATGATGCAGGAGAATCGCTTGATCCCGGGAGATGGAGGTTTCAGTGAGCTGAGATCGCGCCACTGCACTCCAGCCTAGGTGACAGAGTGAGACTCAGTCTCAAAAAATAAAATAAGAATCAATGCAGAACTTCCAGCTGAAAATAAATAGGACTTTTCTTTACTAATGAACTAAACCCATTTATTCCTGAGATTGCAGTTTTTTGAATTTTTGCCATCAGACCTTGATAATGCAGACCTAACGCAGTAGGGTATAAATAACTCCAACAAGCTTAGCATTCCAGTAATGGAACACTAGGCATAAATGGGTTATTGGTCAGGTGTCCTGAAGGCACCGAAACTCAGTGAGTTTGTCTAAAGCATCTGCCCTTTATCCTTCCTGCACATGGTAATTGCTTGACCACATTTAAAACATACTCATGCCAACTTCTCCTGTAGGGATTCTTAAATAACTGGTCTTTTGCAGACTTTCTTAAGTACTAGAATATTTTTCAGTGCTTTCTGTGCATTCTTTTGTCCAGTCAGAGTTGAGAATCATTGTTGCAAAGAGTACGGAAGTGGTTGTATTTCTGTGTATTATTATCCTATTTCTTTGTCATAGCTCAATTCAGACCAATTTAATAAACTCACACTTTGTGGGTATAATTTCAGGGATGTCATGGACTGTCAGTTGATGTTTTAAATTATGAGTGTATCAAGTTTTAGCAGTATACGGTGGCAGTCTTCTCATTAAACAGTTCACGTTAAGAACTCTTTTCTTGGCAAGGCACATTGTGAATAAGAATGTTTTTGAAAATTTGGGGACTTTGGAAAACATTAGTTGAGAAAATGAGATACATACTGCAGGGAATCTAAAGAAATCACATGTTTGCAGAAATGTCTTCACATTTCTTACCAATGCCATTGGGTCTTAAATTGGTGACCTCTTCAGTTTTTCAATAGACAAAAATATATTAGGTTGGAGCAAACGTAATTCCGGTTTTGACATTTCTTTGAACGGTAAAAAGCAAAACCGCAATTATTTTTGCCCCAGCTGATGGTAGTAGTTACTGTCTGATATATTGCTGCATATTGTGTGTCAGTGAAAAGTAATGTCTTCTTTTGTTGTAATGTCAGCTTTTAACGTCTAACTTTGTTCTAATGTCAGCTAGTAGATAATGATAACTGGTAACTAGTGGAGCAACTAGGTAATAGCTGGGAAAGAGCTGACTTTTATAGTACTGAGATCTTTGTCGGGAAAATGAATTTTAGGAGGTGTCCACATGAAGGGAACTTACTCAAGTTGGGTTGGAGAATTGAGTCCATGTCTTATAGGATAGATGTTAATGAAGGTGAAAGGAGGAGGAGTGTTTGGTTAGTGGGGAGAGGGGCAGATGCAGGAGTTATTTGCTGGTTTGGAAAACATTAGGTCAGTTTGGACCTGAGAAATAGGTTGGGTATAACCTGGTATAACAACTTAGAAAAATGGTATTAATATCTTCTCAGAAGTCATTCTGAAGATTCATCTTCGTAAGGTTTAGAGGTTTATTCTAAATGGTAACATAGTGATACTGCATTGACTATGTTAAATTGTTTAATAAAAGAAGATGGGAAATTGGCTCAGAGGTGTTTGAAAGCTCTGGGTCTTCCTACTCAAATGGGAGTAAAAATCAGTGTCCAGGAGGTTTTCTTTCTTTCTTTCTTTTTTTTTTTTTTTGAGATGGAGCCGTACTCTGGCACTTAGGCTGGAGTGCAGTGGGTTGATCTCAGCTTACTGCAACCTCTGCCTCCTCCTGGTTTCAAGTGATTCTCCTGCTTCAGTCTCCCAGGTAGCTGGGATTATAGGTGTGCACCTCTACACACAACTAATTTTTGTATTTTCAACTGATTTTTGTCTTTTCAGTGGAGACTGTTGCTCCACGTTGGCCAGGCTGGTCTTGACCTCTTGACCTCAGGTGGTCCACCCGCCTGGGCTCAAGAGATCTTCCTGCCTTGGCCATGCAAAGTGCTGAGATGACACGTGTGAACCACTGCACCCTACCCTCTTTTAATATTACTCATTTGAAGGCACTGGTTTTGTTTTGTGAAAAGTGTTGTAATAAAAGTGAATTTGTTTTTTTGTTTTTTTGAGACGGAGCCTCGCTCTGTCGCCCAGGCTGGAGTGCAGTGGCCGGATCTCAGCTCACTGCAAGCTCCGCCTCCCGGGTTTACGCCATTCTCCTGCCTCAGCCTCCCGAGTAGCTGGGACTAGAGGCGCCTGCCACCTCAACCGGCTAGGTTTTTGTATTTTTTAGTAGAGACGGAGTTTCACCGTGTTAGCCAGGATGGTCTCGATCTCCTGACCTCGTGATCCGCCCGTCTCGGCCTCCCAAAGTGCTGGGATTACAGGCTTGAGCCACAGCGCCCGGCATAAAAGTGAATTTTTATCACGATGTTGGGAATGCACAAGTATTCAAAGCGATAGTTACTGAGGAGTCTTTTAAAAAGTAAGATTGGGAAGTCTAAAAATAGATCTTTTAAGCAAGATTGGGAAGTACTCTAAAAATATATCTAAAAATAGATCTGGCATGTACATGAAATTGACGTTCGTCAACAGCTACCCTGGCACTATGCTTTTTTTTTGTTTCTGAAACGGAGTCTCATGCTGTCGCCTGGGCTAGAATGCAGTGGTGCGATCTCGGTTCACTGCAACCTCCGCCTCCCGGGTTCTCGCGATTCTACTGCCTCAGCCTCCCGAGTAGCTGGGATTACAGGTGCACACCATCACACCTGGCTAATTTTTTGTATTATTAGTAGAGATGGGGTTTTACTATGTTGGCCAGACTGGTCTCGAACTCCTGACCTGTCTTCATGATCCACTCACCTTGGCCTCCCAAAGTGCTGGGATTACAGGCGTGAGCCACTGTGCCTGGCCAAACCTGGCACTATTCTTTAAAAAATTCTCATAAAAGGCTTGATATATATGTGTTCCGATTTGTGCCACAAATACTACTGTATTTTCATACTAAAACTATAGATAAAAACTAGATATATTTTCTTCAGATGTAGTAAATTGCAGCACCACTTTCCCTTATAATTGATCACCTATGAAATTGTTCTCAAATTAGATAGTGGTGGTATTGCAGAACTAATAAAAACCACAGAGCAGCACCCTTTTAAATGTTGAATTTTATGGTATGTGAGTGACATTTCAATTGAAAACAGATGTGACATTTCAGTTGAAAAAGGATACATCACTGATTTATGGACAGTCATTCTTTTTTGTCATATCTCGTGGACCCTACACCAGGATACTTGCCAGTTAAAGACATAAATGAAACTCTGGTGCTACCAGCCTCAAAAGTAACTCCTGCGCCTGAGGATGGACACCTTTTAGAATTAAAAGAACTCTCAGTCATTGTGGGACATCTTGCTAGCCTTCATAGAGACTGATTTACTGTCAGCTCTTTTCTTCTCATCTCTTTTTTTTTTCTTTTTTTTGAGACAGAGTCTTGCACTATTGCCCAGGCCGGAGTA